CCTGGCGGGCGCGGGGGTGCGCCCGGGTTGGGAGGAGAAGATGCCCGGCGCGGGGGCGGTCCCCGGGGACACGGCGTCCCACTCGTAGCCCCTCTGCGACAGCTTATAGTGGATGTATTTCATCACTATCTCCCGGTTATCGTACCCTGTTCTCTCAGCGTGCGCCATCCTTCCCCCGAGGAAAAGCAGCCGGGTACCAACAGCACCTCTCGCCCCCGCTTCCCGCCCCACGGCCCCACAAGAGAGAATAGTTATAATCCAGCTATTTTATTGGATGTGCTTTGCATTCTTGGATGAGGGGGTGTCTTCAATCACGCGGAACACTTGATTCTGGTGTTTCCCTCCTGGCATGAGATGCAGGAAATTTTTATTTAAATTCCTTTCGGATCTTTATTTCATGAGGCACATTATTAATTTTGTTAATATCAGTCTATTTCCTCCGTGATGCTGAAAGGTGAAAAAAAACTAAGTCAAAATCAGGTGCATTTTCCTTACACACTGGGGAACGCAGGTCATACACACTGCAAGTTACACAGCTAAAAAGAATGTATTAAACTGCTTGGAAATAAACTTACTCGAATGCACTTAAAGTTAAAATTTCAAATGTTTCCATTGAAAGTTACATTAAACCAATTTCCTGTGCAAAGAACTTACTTGTATTTTTTAAGGACAGCATGATCCTCTGTCAAGTTTCCTTTTTTGTGAAAACAAAACAAATGCATAAGGCAAAGATTCCATCAGTCTTCAGAACTCTCCAGTTATAGCTGCTTTGAAACTTCCAAATGAATCAGGAGTTGGGGGAGGGGGGTGTAAAAATTAGGAGAATTTCCAGTTTGATTCCCAGACTTCTCCTTTACAGAAATGTCAATCCGTAGAAATCCCAACCGGAGAGCTCAAGAGCACGAGAAAAGAAAGGCAGCGGCGGCGGCGGCGGCAGATGAATTACAATTTTCAGTCCGGTATTTGCAGAAGTCCTGTGATTTTCCCTCTTTCGGCAATTTACACGCGCGCACACACGCGCGGGCACAGACATGGATCTCTATCCGCGGGACCGCTTCACGCCTCCACGGGAGAGAGACAGGGATCGGGGGCCGGTGGACGAGCCGGGAACGGGGGCAGGAATCCTCTTCTGATTAAACTCCGAACGGCAAATGCATTTTCCGAAAAGCTGCTTGATAAATGAAGGCTGGACGCGCCCGGCCCGCCGGTGCCGAGCGCGAGAAGCCCGCGCTGTGTGTGGTGCGGCCAGGGGTGGGGAGAAGGAGGTGGTGGGGGAGGGTTTTATTTTTTCCTCTTTTCCTAAAAAGGTAACTGCTACGAAGTTCTCCCCCCCCGGACCCCCTCTTCCGCTGCACCCCACCGGCGCACCCCGCCTCCGGGCTGCGCACCCTTTCTCCTCCTCCTGCTCCTCTGCGCGGCGGCGCTGGCGGCGCCCGCCTCCCCCGCGCTCCCGCCGCGCACCCGCTCTGGGCGATGACGGCCGCGCCGGCGGGGAGGGCCCGGCG